TAGCACCATGCGATCAAGGGCGGTGTTTTTGCCATTCCAAGCAGTGATGCTGCCAGTCAAGATGCTCTCAGTGTTACAGCTGTAGAACTTTGAGGATTTGAGTGCCCATGACAAACCTTTTCAACCTCCTGAGGGGGAAGAGGTGCTGACGCGCCTTCTTCAGGACTGTGAGGACCATTTTAAGTTCTAAGTGATTTGGACACCGGGGAACTTGAAGCTCTCGACCCGCACCACTGCAGTCCCGTCAATGTGGATGGGAGCGTGTTGCCCCCCACGCTGAGTTGTAGTCAACAGCATTCTCACCGTAGGCATTCCTCTTATCAGGTGGGTCAGAGCAGTGTAGGTGTGCAACTCACATAGGTCCGTCACTAATTGTGTTACACAAACTCGGTCCCACATTTTGTTTTTTGCCCTAGCACTACACAGCGGATTCAAATAATCAAAGCTTAAATTAAGAGTTAAATTATTTGAATTAGCTGTGTAGTGCTAGGGCAAAAAACTAAACGTGCACCTAGGACCGAGTTTGGGAAACACTGCTAATAGCTCATAACGTCACATGGATCCAATAAAATCACAAGAAAACAATACATTAGGGCCTACCCTACAACATTTAAGAGTCATAATCTGCACTATAATTGAGCAAACTATCAAGTTTAACGATGGTCCATTAGTGGAAAAATGGCTGATACTTGCCTGTCAACATGCACCTCCTAAAAGGCTTACATGATGCAATCAGACCTGTAGTAGGCCTGTCTAAAAGATCACTGCCTTTACAAAATGTAAATCTACTGTGCTTACAAATCTCTCACACACAAAATAAATGTTTTTTTACCCCCCAAAAATATTTGAAAAACAGGTGAAATAAATATATTTTATTATTTTCATTGTCATCATAATTACTAACACATCAAAGTGCCAACTGACTGACAGTCTCCCGACCCTTTTCCATCAAGATTTCTCCTCTCTTCAGCATTCATTTAGAGGAGCCAATGGGCCTTAGCCTGGTCCCAGATCTGTTCTTGTCTACTCCATTGCTGTCATTTGACCAGCCAAACATTTGGCACGACAGTGAGTGACATGGAATTGGCATGATGGCACAAACAGACTGGCACTCAGGCTAAAACCAATGGGCCTCCCGCCACCATTGTATCTCTCGCAGGATCCAACCATGCATAAAATCTCCCATTTAAAAATAAAAAATAAAATAAAAAATATATATAAAAAAATTATGCATACCACTGATATACAGTTCTGATATAAACAGGCTTATTGGTCACAAACCAAATAGAATTATAAACATGGCTTCTTTTACAATACACAGAAAACAAATGTGTGGGATATAAGTGTAATCTTTCTTTTAAAAAGGGTACATTTTTCAAATTTATACATTTGTACATTTTTTTTCTTCAATGATATATTTTTTTTTACAGTCCGAATGCGCAAGGCATTTTGGGCACCCCAGTGTCCTTTGAGCACAAATTGCAGTACACACACAGTCGCGCACACAGTCACACACACACACACACACACACACAGGAGAGAAGTGCTTACAGCACCCTGGAGTGGTAGCAGTGTCTTATAAAAGCACATATTGGACCATATTGGTATAGTCTGTCTGTCGGCGGCATCTTGTTGGTTGGTTTTCAAGAAGACGCAGGGGAATATCATGTGGTGGCCTATCATACCGTATTTCAGTTCACTGCCTATTACTTTAACCGTCTTTCCCGAATCCCAAACCAACCTATCCAATCCTCTCAGATTTACACAAGTAGGGAGCAGGGGAAAGGGTTTGATTGGTTTGGGATTCAGGCCTCGTCTACCCCTCACTACCATCACTAACTAACAGTCCCTCTATGAGTGGGGAGGTGAAATTAAACCAACTGGAGGACAGCCACCCTGTTTGTGTTCAGAGTTCGAATAGACATGACTTCTCATTTCAACAGGTGAGTGTTAATCCACAATGGTGAATGAGGCCACCTGGTGGTGAGAATGAAACATTACATTCCTGACTGTAAGATCCTTGTGCAACGTAACCACACAGACATTCACATACAACACACACACAGAAGCAAAAGTATTACAATCAGTGTAAAAAAATCGGAATAGTCTCAAATGTGCAAAAAAGGTCATCGCTAACAACACAAGACAAACTATGCTCAACAGAAGAAGTCCATCGTCCAATGAGTAACCTTGAAGAAGCAAGCGGTAGAGAATGCATCATGTACCAGTTTTAAATAGTGCATATGGCGTCATTATTTCTGTTGAGAGTTGATCCCAGCGAGTCCCAGTGCCAATAGAAATGTTCAGTTGTTTAAACATTTTTTACAGGCAATGCAATGCAGGAGGGTAAGGAAGGGGTCTAACTTCTTGGGGACCAGCTTAGCTGATGATAACACACACGGTCAACATTTAGCTTCTCAGACTAAAAGAAAAGAGTCCAGAACAATGGAGTCATTGACTATTATTTTTCTTAACCAGCTCTCCTTCAGCGCGTGCGAGAGAGACGGGATTTAGTACCTTGTGGTGCTATGGTTGAGGGGAGTTAGTGCCTAGGCGATGGGAGAAACGCTCTACCAGGTTACAGGCTAGTTGATCAGTAGGTTTTTCGAACCCCTCACACAAAATACCTTGTGTTTCCATACCGTGAGTACCTATGGGTTAGCTTACAGGCAGTGACAACACCCCCTGGAGTCAAATAGACAGCCACTTCCATAATTAACTATCAGAACGACCATCATCATCCAAATACCTATCCTACTGCATCTAGCAAATATGGGTCAAATATATCTATGACGTATTCAATGTACCAGGCATCACAGAACAGTTAGCACTGCTATGATTTTAGATAAGTCTACTTGTTAGTAATGTTGAGGTGTGGCTGAGTACAGCACTGAAACTAGGGATGTCAAACTCTCATGCAAATCATTTTGTGTACTCGAGTACTCGCATGCAAGCGCAAAACAGGGCTGAAGGCAAAACAAGTTTGCAGTATGCTATCGATTGCTTCAATTAATGTTTTTTTTATGATATATTTTCACTGCACTTGACATACTCCAAACAATAAACACATCTTAGAGTTTGAAATGTTGTCAGTGCTTATAAATTGAACCTGCTAAATAGTTGCATCGGCACATTTCCAATACAAACCTTGAATCGAGCCCATCCCCAACTGAAACATACTGAAAACTGCTCTGGTATGTGTGTGTGTGTGTGTGTGTGTGTGCTAAAGGAGTGTTTGTGAGAGGAGCAGCGTGTGAGACATGACACAGCACATACTACTATTACATACCAGTAGTTTCTTTCCCAAGGCATTGTAGGGCAAGATGGCATAACAGTACCAGATGGTGTCCAACACTGTGGAGTATAACTGAGTATTCACCAGTACTGTCGAGTATTGATAGACATAATTGCAGAGCTTTTTGCTGAGTACTGTTCAGTGCAGTAGTATCTTAGTCAAAGATGTAAACTGGCTAACGTAGAGAGTGCATTAGCGCAAAGTAGTACCTGATATTAACATACATTAGGCCTACAACAACTGAGTAACAAGCATCCTAATTGGCTAGCGGTTCCCCACTCTTCCTGTTTTAAAACACCATAATATACCTTTGACCAATCAACTAAGGCCTGGCTTTAACTAATCAACTGGCCTCATAGTACCACATGGCCAGTCAGAGCTCAGATGTATTTCTGTTAAGAACTGAAGCTGAGACTGAGGCACCAAACCCACTATGATTCGCACCCTAGGTTTCTGCTTTGGTGTGTCTGGATTGTATCTGATCTGGGGTCAGTAAGAGACATATGACCCCTGGTGAGGAGAAGGCAGAGAACAGTGCCACAACTGATCTAACACCAGTCTGATAAATAGGGGAAAAAAGGCTAATCAGAGAGAGCAGACCAATTCGGCGCACCACTGGCTGAACCACACTGAAAAAAATACACTTAGATATGATCCGAACCGTAAATAGGCTGGTACCTGTCTGATGCGTACCGAAAACGTTTTGAAACTAAAGACACTGCTAAAAAGGCACACGGCAAAGAACAAAGACTGGGAGGGGATTTGACAACAGACCCTGACATACAGGGGACCTGACTGACACATCAGCAGACAGACAAACAGACACTCACAATAGTCACAGGACAGACTGAAGTAAAGCGAGGGATCCTAGCAACAAAAGTTGTTGTTTTTTTTCAGAGAAAATGTCTACAGTATAAGTAAGAAGAACCGTTTTGAGTTCTGGGTGTTCTACATGGACTGTGAATGTGCAAGTGAGGGGGGAGCAACGTAGGCAGCAGTGTGAGAAGAAGCGTGTGTGTGTGTGTGTGGGGGGGGGGGGGGGGGGTAGGAGTGTTCTCCTCACCCGGTGTTCTGGTTGTGGTTTCGATAGCAGCGTGCTCTGGGTTTTCAGCGGTACATTCTGGGTCGAGGCAGGACCACACTAACCACCAGGGGTGCGTTCACCAGAATACAATAAGGAATCGTTTCGGCTCTAGTCCTGCCATTTCTATCTGCAACGTTTCACAACGTTTGCCTACTGAACGTGGCCCAGATTATCATGATCACCTCAAATCTCCACTAAGGTCCAGATCAGAAACACCGACGTTGACTCAGTGAGCTAAGCACAGAGTGACTGAGTCCCACTCCACAATCAAAAGCAGGAGATATTCATCATAAAAACATATTTTCAAAAAAGGTTATTTTTTCGTCTTGATTGGGCAACTTACCCTATTCGTGAAATTAAGGTGCAACGTTCTTTCTCTAAACGAGTTCATTAATTAATTCCTCCTTGCCAGTCTCCTAAAAACAGAGATGCAGGAGTTGTAGTCCCCACCTCTACCCACCTCTCCCTCATCCAATCACCAGATGGATACCTCCCACCATGTCCTCTCTGGTCCAATGGGGGCTTTCCACCTGGAGCTGGGAGGGCGGAGTCAGAGGCAGGGACAGCGAATCAGCTAAGGCCATCTCTGGCAGTTCAGGGGTCCGAGGTCAGGGGGATGGGCTAGTGAACAAAGATGTGCCTCAGAAGGTCGTCGGCCGAGGGCCTCAGCTTGGTCTCCACGAAGATGCGCTTGAGGAAGTCGCGGCCGTGGTCGGAGACGTGGGCGGGCAGCGAGGGGTTGGTGGGCTGGGTGGCGATCTTAAAGATGGCTGCCATGGCCTCGAACTCGGCCCAGGGGGGCCGCTGGGTCAGCATCTCCACCACCGTGCAGCCCACACTCCTGGAGAGGAGACCACTGACATTAGCCAACATCATCATTATCAACAGTTGACATGACATCCCACCAGAGGAGGCTGGTGGGAAGAGCTATAGGAGGACAGGCTCATTGTAATGGCTGGAATGGAATCTATGGAACGGTATGAAACACAAACATATGGATGCTCCGTTCCATTAATTCAATTCCAGCCCTTAAAATGAGCCCATCCTCCTATAGCTCCTCCCACCACTCATCCCATATTCCCCTCAATCAAGATCGTTATTGGTTCTCATCTCACCAAGATTTACATGACAAAAAAGGAGATACTTTTTCTCAGTGGCTGTTACACTTGTCTTCAATAGCTTCCTTTCCTGATCCCCTCTCCTTTCTGACCACAAATTTAAAGAGACTTTATCGGAAATCATATGGTAGAAACCTCTTAACGGGGGAAGTGTAGTTAAAAACTAGATGTTCATGTTTTTTATGATATTTCCACACTATGAGGTCAAAATAAGTCTGAAATTGTAAAAATGATAAAGAGCTTTTGGTGTAAGAGCTGTTTGAAAAAAAATATCAGCCTGTTCAGGTGGGATGGAACTTTTGGCCCACATCATGACGTCACAATGTGATCTGATTATAATAGACCAATGACTGTTCCTCTGGGTAAGGGGGTGGGCTCTAGACCATTTAGCCAAACAGGGCTGTGTATATAAATATCTTCAAATTTGTGTTTCCTAACGCCCACACAATCAGTCAGAGCAAGGGTGAAGGAAGCTCAGGGAAATAAATAAGATATATATTTGAGTTATTTTCATTAAATAGTGATTTATGATTTAAAAAATTACAAAGACTGCATGGGGGCTTTAAGTCTCAGCCAGTGGTTTGAAAGAGTTGGAAACTATTTTGCTGATAAGTCTGCCTCAGTAATAATCAGTCTTACCAGATATCAGCCTTCCTCCCATAGCCCTCTCCACTGATCACCTCTGGGCTCATCCAGTAGGGAGTACCAGTCACTGACTTGATCCCTGTTCCTGACAGACAGATGGTCTGTAACCGCCTGCTCGCCCCAAAGTCCCCCAGCTTCACGTTTCCCACAGAGTCCCGCAGGATGTTGGCCCCTGGAGAGATAGATGGAGGGAAAGAGGGAGGGACAGGGGAAGTGAAGAGGGAGGGGGGGGTTTAGGTACATTCTCTCATAAGAAACGACATTACCCAGAAGTCACTGCTTCTGTTAAGGCAATGTTCCCTTCAATATCCATCAACATTCGGTCATAAGAACTCCATGAACCAGAACATGGCCCAGAACTCTATGAGTCATGATAATGGTCCTTCCTATTTGAATCCATCAACATTTTATTCCAATATTCCATCCATGTTTCCCTCTCTCCTTCTGTACCTTTGATGTCTCTGTGGACGATCATGTTGCTGTGTAGGTAGGACACTCCCTCCAGGATCTGACGGGTGTATCTACGCGTCACGTTTTCAGTCAAGGCCCCGTACGACTTCAGCTGGTCTTTGATGGAGCCCTTGGGACAGAGGTTAACCATATGAGCGTTAAAGCAACCTGCGGGTCCGTTCCAGGTCATCTTTACTACAGTAGCGTCGTGCTGATCATCTGTGAAACTTGACTGCAACAAATACATCCTGGAACGCAGCCTACATCGCCACACTGGTTGACGGAGACAGGTTTGAGTTGGTCTAAGTCCAGTTATTCAAACGTATACACAGACACAAAAAACACTACACACTTACCCCTGGCATGTACTCCATAAAGATGGACAGTGTTCTCTCGTTGGAGTCTCGTAGACAGCCGTAGTACTGGACGATCCGTTCATGGCACAAGTTCTTCAGTAACTGGATCTCACACTCCAGGGCACTTACCTCCTGCAGATAGACAATACTTATTGAGTACACAGTGTAGACACTCTCAACACACAAACACCATTTCTGTTCCACTCACCTTGCTGGTCTCGGGACTCTCTGGGTCAAACTGGACCTGTTTAACAGCCAGCTCTCTGCCAGTGTCTGCATCGTAGCAGAGGAAGACCCGGCCAAACGCACCCTGACCCAGCAGCTTCCCTATCCGCCAGTTAGTAGGGGCACGTGGAGCTGAACAGACATGGGGGGGGAAAACAATCATGTCATTTGTGTGCGCTTTTAAGAAATACGTTTGTTGCAAAGTGCTTAGCAGATACCCGGCCAGACCAGCTATCCTTCCACCCTTCCACCCCCACATAAGTATCCTTCTCTCCATTCTCCATCTCTCCTTTCCCTCCCTCCATCCAGCTCTACTCACAGCGGCTGGGTGGGCTGATGTCCATAACGGAGAGGGTGGGGTTGGGCTCGATGTCGCTGCCCCTGCGCCGGCGACCCCCGGGCTCCTCCAGGTCTGGGGTGAAGATGCTGCTGCCACTGCTGGTGCTGGGAGACTGCTCTGTGGGGCTGAAACTGACCGGGGAATGGAAACCGTGGACCTGGGTCCGCCGCGCTCGAGGGAACGTCTTACGCCCTGCAGGGGAGGATGGGGAGAGGGAGAGAGAGAATGAAGGAAAACAATAATTCTCTGTGATGCTCTAAAATAAAGAATCGGACTTGGGACACCCGGATTTAAGGTTTAATTGAATATGGCCTGTGTTTTAGTGAGGGTCTGTTCTTGTTTGTTCGCTCACCATCACTGTAGTCCTGAAGGCCAAAGGAAATGTGGTATCGCCGTGGGTAAGTCCCCCCTTTCCCCGACTTCTCAAACACTGGAATATCGTACTCTGGGTAGACTTGGTGGTTGTCTGGGTAGCTCTGTGCTCGGGGCATACGTGACTTAGGATAGTTATCACTGCAAGGAAATATAGGAGGAGTACATGCTTTAAAAACTGTTACATTTCAGAAGATATGTAGTGTTGAAAATTACCGCAATGCATGCTGGCTAGGTGTTGTATGGTTCTTGGCTGGATGTTCAGGACTCACCTGTCCAGTGGGCTGTCCAGTGAGGGACAACTCCCCGATGCAGAGTTCTCTGGACTGCTCATCGACAGAGGGTCCAGCATCTAGAAAGGAGAGATTGAGTTTGTGACTCTGCTGTCATTTGTCATACTCTGAACATGTTCATAAAATGTTCATAACAGTTCATAATATGTTTCTTAACAGTGGTAATGAAGGACAGTTAAGAGTAGGCAAGAGTGTTGGGACTAGGCCTTAGTATGACTGTTCCTGATCTGGGCCCCTGTCTCCATCTATCCCTAGTCTCTAAGGTGAGGTTACTGAGGTGTGGTTAGGTCATAGAGATCGATAGAAGACTCCTCTTTGTATCTGTGCCATTATGGTGACTGACAGCACAGTCAGTGCCATTGAGGCCCTCTCCATTTTAAAGTAGTCCATTTTCTTCATCTTTTGTGTATAAATAAAGCGTAAAGCTAATATTTGTGATTTACCGCCACCTGCAGTGCTGGAGTCCTGGACAAAATCGTGTGCATCATTCATTTATTGTGGACACTACATAGCGGTGACATAGCTTAAAAGCTATTTACCAAACTATAGGCAACCCAATTTGAAGAAGACAATGCTCTGATTATTGGCTGATCCCTCCCAACCCATAGGAATCCCCACCCAGTTGACTACTTTAAAATGGTGGAAGCCCTCAATGGCAATATCCATGCTAAAACGGGTTAGCCTACATCTATCCATCTAGAGTCCTCTATCCATCTCTATAGGTGAGGTTACCTGGTCCATGCTTTCTGGAATGAACTCTCCCTCGCTGTTAATGCTGGTGAAGGAGCCATTTCTGGCCACCTGCTGGAGGGCATCAGGAATGTAGCCTGGAGGGGGGGAGCTGCGGTCGCCGGAGTGGGACCCTGGATGAAAGAGAATTACATACATTTCTAGCTGAAGACTTACTACTAGACCGGTGGTGAAAGACAAGGTGTTTTGGCTGTTTCTAATGCCATGAAGCAAATGGATTTTGAGAAATTGAAAGAAATGGAAAGTATTTACTAGAAGGACAACAATTTCACAGATTAATTAATTACACACACAGATATAGTAGTCATTGGAAACACCACAGAGTAGATGACCCACCTATCAAAGCCAGCATGCTTTTATGGTCTGTGGCCCTGAAGCGTGTGTTGTCCAGGTCTTCGTGTGGGGGCAGCAGGTCCATGCTGGATGTGGAGGTCTGAGAGGAGAAATTAAACACCATCAACATCATCCATCCATATCAAAACAGCTTTACTATACAACCGTTTCTTTTACAGAATAAAACATTGTCAGCTCAAACAAAGGTCTCAAGATGATTCATTAAAGTAAATACTCAAGAAAGAAAGTGTATGTGCTGAGCATAGTGAGCTGTTGATGGAAGTAGTAGAAGTACTGATCTAGGATCTGTACAGACAATCGTCTTCATTATTACCTAAAAGGCTCAACTAAAAGGCTAAACTGATCCTAGATCAGCACTCCTACTCAGTGATGCTTTGTGAATATGGGCTGTGAACTGCCTGGTCCTAACCTGAGAGGAGGCCTGGAGCACCAGGAGGATCTTCAGGCTCTTCATGTGGACGCTGCGATCCAGCAGCTCCACGGCCTTGTCCAGGTCATCCTGAGTGGTCAGAGGAATCACCAGCTGGGAGGGAGGAGGGGAGAGAACCACAGAGAGGGAAACGGACAGATCAGATTAGAAAAAGAGGAAGAAATGAGAGGGAAACGGCAGCAAGAGAAGGAAGTGAAATAGAAAAGAAATATATTGGTAGTTTCTCACAGAACAATTCATTCTCTCGCTCACACATTTTGGTGATTGGCTTTTGGTGCTTATTTGACTGCCAGAGACCAACACTGTGACTGAGGGCTGGGCTATATGGCCCAAATATCATATCACAGTATTTACAACATATTGGACGGTATGACGGTATTTTATGTTAGGAATAATAAAAGTTCTAAATTTGCTTTATGAGTAGTGCGTGACCCTAGAGTGGCAACACATACATTCTAAGTGATTTCAATGGGTCTTTCTCCATTCTGATTGTTTTATACTGTTCAATTCAACCCTAAAATTATTTTCAGCATTTTCATCAATTTCTGCATTTCCTGCACTCATTTGAGATCTCCACACTGCCACGAAGGGCTGCACGATATGGGCGAACAATCTTTAATTTTAACCAAATGTTGCAACTGTGATTTGATTTGCAATTTAAAGCCAAACACTTGGGTGAACTGTTGGAATCATGGAAATAGAATGATCATTCTAATTCTATAGTTAGAATATAATAGTGGGCACTTTGAATACGGTGTTGTTTGACATGACAACGGAATAAAAATACCAAGGAGGAGTTATTATTGTGACAGGGTAGGAACCAAAGTGTTGATAAGTGTTTTCTAGGGGACCCTATAATCTTTGGCTTACATTGAATATTCTCTCTTAGCTACCACATGTAGCTAACATTCATGCTTCAGGTATTCCTCTTTATTTAGAAGATACTGTTGCACAAACATGCTGATTTAGGTCTACACCATCACTGGTATTATCAGGCTGTATAGCTAGCTACGTTTGCTCTGACTCAGTACATTTATTAGCTAGCTAGCCAGCTAATTAGCAATTAGCATTAGCGGCTAACAAGATTTAGGCCCAACTTGCTATGAAAAGACAAACTACCTGTTTGCAGATGTAAGAAACACAAACTAATAGTGTAATTATAAAACGCTTGTGGATTTATATTAAGAAGCAAAGTGAAAACAGCATCGTTGTCATCAACATCATTGTAGCATGTGCTGCATTGACCATGCAGACTGAACGCAAGTGTCTCGTGGTCGAGGAACAACAAATGCGCTCCTTGAGTGACAGGGCTAGGTCTGTGTGGAAAGCGGCATGGAGAGAGAGAGCGGAGAGAGATGACTCAAGTAGCGAAGTAAACTATAAAAATGGACGTTACCCACGTCATATCACATGTAACAAACCAAACATTAAAATACTGTTATAGAAGGTAAAGTTAAAACCCAAACTGGTCTGTGCATCAATACCGGTATATCATGGGGCGGCAGGTAGCTTAGTGGTGAAGAGCGTTGTGCCAGTAACCGAAAGGTCGCTGCGGCAGGTAGCTTAGTGGTGAAGAGCGTTGTGCCAGTAACCGAAAGGTCGCTGGTTCTAATCCCCGAGCCGACTAGGTGAAAAATCTGTCGCTGTGCCCTTGAGCAAGGCACTTAACCCTAATTGCTCATGTAAGTCGCTCTGGATAAGAGCGTCTGCTAAATGACTAAAAATGTAAAAATGTAATATCGTAAAATACGGTATACCGCCCAGCCCCACTGTGACTTGGTGATGATGTTATCTGTGATAAGTACCTCATTGTTGGTGTAATGCAGGTCCATGGCCTGACCGAAGGCCACTTTGGCTTTGTTCCCCAGGTCATCCAGCCTGACTGGGCGAAAGAACTGCAAGATCCTCTTCTCCCCTTTGAACTCAAACTTCACTCGTACATCGTTCTGTACACACACACACACGAGAGGAAAAGTGATGAGGAAGAGAAATGCCATTTATTGTATTGAGACTATTCTCTGATGAGAGGGGCAAGTGGACAGACCTGATTTTTGGGTGAAGAGGCCTTGGGTTTGCCCAGGTCAGATAGGGTCATGGCAGGGCGGCTGGAGCGGTGCAGTTCGGCCAGGTCCTGCATTATAGAGTTCAGTGCCTCCTGTTCATCTGTTTGGGGCAGATAGAAAGCTTAGAACAGAAAACACAGAATAGAAGCCATAGAAAATTCTCTGTTGTTCTATGTTCCATTCTTAGCCATAGAACAGAGAGTATTGCAAAGCATTCCCAGGGCACCTTAGATGATAAGATATGGCCAGAAGCCATCCTAATGTCATGACAGGTCAGATGTACAGTTGAAGTCGAAAGTTTACATACACCTTAGCCAAATACATTAAAACTCCGTTTTTCACAATTCCTGACATTTAATCCTAGTAAAGATTCCCTGTCTTAGGTCAGTTAGGATCACCATTTTATTTTAAGAATGTGAAATGTCAGAATAATAGTAGAGAGAATTATCTATTTCAGCTTGTATTTATTTCATCACATTCCCAGTGGGTCAGAAGTTTACATACACTCAATTATTACTTGGGTCAAACGTTTTGGGTAGCCTTCCACAAGCTTTCCACAATAAGTTGGGTGAATTTTTGCCCATTCCTCCTGACAGAGCTGGTGTAACTGAGTCAGGTTTGTAGGCCTCCTTGCTCGCACACGCTTTTTCAGTTCTGCCCACATATTTTCTATAGGATTGAGGTCAGGGCTTTGTGGTGGCCACTCCAATACCATGACTTTGTTGTCCTTAAACCATTTTGCCACAACTTTGGAAGTATGCATGGGGTCATTGTCCATTTGGAAGAACCATTTGCGACCAAGTTTTAACTTCCTGACTAATGTCTTGAGATGTTGCTTCAATATATCCACATAATTTTCCTTCCTCATGATGCCATCTATTTTGTGAAGTGCACCAGTCCCTCCTGCAGCAAAACACCCCCACAGCATGATGCTGCCACCCCCGTGCTTCACGGTTGGGATGGTGTTCTTCGGCATGCAAGACCCCCCTTTTTCCTCCAAACATAACGATGGTCATTATGGCCAAACAGTTCTATTTTTTGTTTCATCAGACCAGAGGACATTTCTCCAAAAAGTACAATCTTTGTCCCCATGTGCAGTTGTAAACCATAGTCTATGGTGGTTTTGGAGCAGTGGCTTCTTCCTTGCTGAGCGGCCTTTCAGGTTATGTCGATATAGGACTTGTTACTGTGGATATAGATACTTTTGTACCCGTTTCCTCCAGCATCTTCACAAGGTCCTTTGCTGTTGTTCTGGGATTGATTTGCACTTTTCACACCAAATTACGTTAATCTCAAGGAGACAGAACGCGTCTCCTTCCTAAGCGGTATGACGGCTGCGTGGTCCCATGGTGTTTATACTTGCGTAGTATTGTTTGTACAGATGAACGTGGTACCTTCAGGAGTTCGGAAATTGCTCCCAAGGAGCTGATTTATTTAGATTTTCCCATGATGTCAAGCAAAGAGGCACTGAGTTTGAAGGTAGGCCTTGAAATACATCCACAGGTACACCTCCAATTGACTCAAATGATGTCAATTAGCCTATCAGAAGCTTCTAAAGCCATGACATCATTTTCTGGAATTTTCCAAGCTGTTTAAAGGCACAGTCAACTTAGTGTATGTAAACTTCTGACCCACTGGAATTGTTATACAGTGAATTATAAGTGAAATAATCTGTCTGTAAACAATTGTTGGAAAAATTACTTGTGTCATGCACAAAGTAGATGTCCTAACCGACTTAACAATACATTTGTGGAGTGGTTGAAAAACGAGTTTTAATGACTCCAACCTAAGTGTATGTAAACTTCCGACTTCAACTGTATTACAACTGCTTCTATGTGTTGGGAGAAAGTGTGTGGGAGGATGTACACATACTCATCTTGACACGTTGATTCACCCAGGAGTCCAGGATAGAGGATTCTCCCATCAAAGGGTTCCTTTCTCCTGTAAAATCTGAGTATTGCACACAACAAAATTAGTCACTCACTAAGCAAACTAATTCAAACAAGAATCAGACTGCATTACAAGCTAAATGTTGTTTACATTGGGTCGTGCCATTTGATTTCATTCACTTTTTGACCGCACCCTTTTTAATTTGAATGAAACTTTCTATACATATTTGCCCATGGTAGAAGTGGTCAGAAAGTAGGTCAGAAAGTAACTTTTTGGACCTGAATGCCGAAACATTTAGAAGATAGAGGTGCTTAAAGATGACCCATTTTGCATACCCCCACCCTACCATGAGACATCCATGTCTTCATCACTGGAAAATATAAAACGGTTCAGTTTGAAATAATTCTAAAGCTTCTGAACAGGGTTGTCAAACTATTTGGATAAAAAGTATGTACTTTAACGTCAATTATCTAAAAACGCGTAAACTCCGATTTTTTTCATTTTCACATGTTGTATTTTAGACCCTATTTAACATAATCTGAGATGTTTGTGTTGTGCCCGCCATCGGCTGAGACTAAGCATGCTCTTGAATACAGGGTGGGTGTGATAAATGCACAAAATTGGGAATAACATTTTAATTTCAACTTTCAAATGGTAGCACAAATATGGTTGGAGGTCCACACATCAAAGAATGTTGACTTGAATGGGAATATTATTTGTTTTAAATTATACTGTCAGTCCTCCATAGAAATATAGATAATAGAACCGACATTCCCATTTAAGTTGACATTCGATGGTGGGTGGACAAGCTGCCATCTTTGTGGTAGTAATTGGAAGTTAAAATGTAATTTCAATTTAAATATCAATGATGCACCAGTTAAATTGCAGTGGTCTGAAGGGGTAAGTCCATTCTATGAATTATATATCTATGATTGACATAACACCCATCCTGTATTCAAGAGTATGCTGTGTAACAACCGACGGTGGGCACAACACAAAAACCTCATATAAAATAGGGTTCTACGCTACAACATATGCGAAAATGAAAAAAAAAACTGACTTAACTCGTTTTTTTGATCATTTATGTTAAAGGTTAAAAAATCCAAACACGTTTATCAAGAAATTTCAAAATACTTAACAAAAATCAATTTTTATTCGTCACATGCGCTGAATACAACAGGTGTAGACCTTACCGTGAAATGCTTACTTACAAGCCCTTAACCAACAATGCAGTTCAAGAAATAGAGTTAAGAAAATATTTACTAAATAAACTAAAGTAACAAATAAAATACAAAAGTAACAATAAAATAACGAGGCTATATACAGGGGGTACCGGTACCGAGTTAATGTGCGGGGGTACAGGTTAGTCGACATGCAACAATTTCAACGATTTTACTGAGTTACAGTTCATATGAGGAAATTAGTCAATTGAAATATACTGAACAAAAATATAAACAACATGTAAAGTGTTGGTTCCATGTTTCATGAGCTGAAATAAAAGATCCCAGAAATGTTCCATACGCAAAAAAGCTTATTTCGCTCAAATTTGTGCACAAATGTGTTTATATCCTTGTTAGTGAGCATTTCTCCTTTGCCAAGATAACAGGTGTGGCATATCAAGAAGCTGATTAAACAGCATGATCATTACACAGGTGCACCTTGTGCTGGGGACAATAAAAGGCCACTCTAAAATGGAATGTCCACCAGAGCTGTTAACAGAGAATGTAATGTTCATTTCTCTACCAACGTCGTTTTAGAGAATTTGGCAGTATGTCCAACCGGCCCCGAATTAGTTTTAGAGAATTTGGCAGTACGTCCAACCGACCTCAACTGCAGACCACGTGTAACCACGCCAGCCCAGGACCTCCACATCCAGCTTCTTCAACTGTGGGATCGTCTGAGATAAGCCATTCAGACCAGCTGATGAAACTGAGGAATATTTCTGTCTTTAATAAAGCCCTTTTGTGGGGAAAAACTCATTCCGATTGGCTGGGCCTGGCTTCACAGTGGGTGGGCCTGGCTCCTAAGTGGGTGGACCTATGCTCGTTGAAATTGTTGCGTTTATATTTTTGTGCAGTATAAATTCATTAGGCCCTAATCTATGGTTTTCACATGACTGGGAATACAGATATGCATCTGTCGGTGACAGACAACCCCCCCCCCCCCCCCCCACAATGGGCCTCAGGATCTCGTCTAGGTATTTTTGTGCATTCAAATTGCCAATCGATCAAATGCAATTGTGTTCGTTGTCCATAACTTATGTCTGCCCATACCATAACCCCACAATGTGGCACTCTGTTCACAATGTTGACATCAGCAAACCGCTTGCCCACACAACGCCATACAAATGGTCTGAGGTTGTGAGGCCGGTTGGACATACTCCCAAATTCTCTCAATCGATGTTGGAGGCGGCTTATGGTAGAGAAATTAACATTACATTCTCTGCCAACAGCTCTGGTGGACATTCCTGCAGTCAGCATGCCAATTGCACGCTCCCTCAAAACTTGAGACATCTATGGCATTGTGTTGTGTGATAGACATTTTAGAGTGGCCTTTTATTGTCCCCAGCACAAGTTACACCTGTGTAATAATCATGCTGTTTAAATCAGCTTTTTGATGTGCAACACCTGTCTGGTGGATGGATTATCTTAGCAATGGAGAAATGCTCACTAACAGGGATGGAAACACATTTGTGCACAACATTTGAGAGAAATAAGCTTTTTGTCTGTATGGACAGTTTCTGGGATCTTTTATTTCAGCTCATGAAACATGGGACCAACACTTTACATGTTGCGTTTATATTTTGGTTCAGTGTAGTTTGACAATCCTGTTTGTAAGCTTTTAAATTATATCAAACTCAACCGTTTATCTTTTACATTGATGAAGACATGGCTGTGGTAGGGTGTTGTCACGAAACATGGTGATGCCTTCAATTGTATAGGCAATGCCACACACATTTATATATAAAAAACTAAACGTCCCTTGTCTGTCGCGAATGTTGAATACAATTATATTTGAACTTACTCTGCCGATTGTCAAGTGGTGTTGGTCCTTCAGCTGGTCGAAATTTGAGACAATATCTACAGGAAAGTATTATTAAACAAAACGCGGGTCTATGTGTGTGGCAATCAAAATGTGTTTGCTTATGACGGAAGTACATGCACACAATGCATGCATTCTAACACTTTACATGTGGCAGGTTATAGAAATTTCAACTTCAGTAAGTTTGGTAAACAATACTTTCCTGTGGTTATTTTAAGTAAAATTTCGACCAGCTGAAGGACCAACCGCAGAGACAACCGGTAGAGTAAGTTCAAATGTAATTTTATTCAACATTCTGGCTTGTAAGGAAAATGTCCACAATTTTATAGTACTTTGTTTCAGACTATACCAACAATTAGTATCAATGTCTGATTTATTAGACAATGTAGGGTGAGACTCAGATTTTTCACATTAAAATGTCAAACAAAAAACTATAATTGCAAAGCTAAACAAACCATATAACTTTATGCACAATGACAACTTTTAATGTTCAGTGGAAGTTGTTAAAAGTAGCTAGTCCTTTCTGAGTCTGACAAATGTCCGTTACTGTGTAATTGCCCGTATGCAGAATTGGTCAAATTTGAGCACCCCTTTACCTACTAAATGTTTTGGCACTCTGACCACCTCTACTATATGGGCAAATATAGAAAGTGTCATTCAAACCAAATGGGGTGCGGTCAAAAAGTGATTGAAAACTAATGGAACGAACCCATGAGGCTGTCGTTCAAGCTAGTTAGTAATGCAAGCTTATCTAGCTAATTAAGCTATAACATTCGAATCTATGCCTATGGTCATTAGCTAGCTAAACACCGCGATCCAAATCAACATGACACCCTACTAGCTTGCACAGCTAACGAGCTAAATAGTCGGTTCATGACAGAAGTTGACAGCTAGCTAACGTTAACGTGTTAGTTAGTTGGTTAACGACGTAGACATGTATCTGAGCTAGCAAACTCATTATTTGATAACAATCGACCAATTTGCAAACAACGACAGCTAACTAGGATGACTAACGTTAGATTACATCGCCTGACAGGGAAGTTGTCGAGCTAGCTAGTTAACGTTAGCTAGCTAATGTTTTCCTCGATTAACTTGTTTGCTACCGGTAGCTAGCTAGCTACGTGACGTGAGCCACACATCGTGCAAATCAATTCAAGTACTTTCTGTAAATTGTAACGGTTTACTAAAATCTTTCTAATTTACCTGGGTGGATTCTGTATCTTCACTTCCTCATCCACAGGGCCAGCGACAAGAGCCCCGGCCCCGCGGATAGCGGTCTTTGAGAAAGCAGAAGTTTAGAGTCCGCTTCGAACTTTACTTGAGTCCAAGGCCCGGAGTTTCAGGCCAAGATATCACAAACGCTTGTGTTGTGCAATATGTTCTTCGACGTGAAAACTGATAATGCCGATGTAAACGAATTAAAACAAGCGTTTGAATATACATCCGTTGACGAAAACTTCATCCACACTTCTGTTTGACTTATAAAGCTAGCTACATGAAAACGGTTCTACCAACACAGCTCAGCTGCAATCTTCCCCCAATAATAACAGCAAGCCGAGTTGGAAGAGTCCAACCACAACACAAGTTTGTTGATGTCAGAGAAATATGTGTGTGCTTCTGGTTTCGTCATCAAAATATGTGGTCGTTCGATTTGGCTGTCAGATTAATAACGCAGACAGAAGGGGTGACCTATTAAAATAGAGTTATAAATATATTTGTTAATAACTTGCACTCCTAGTCCTGCACTTCATAGTTAAAATGTTCATACAATAATTATAGCAATCTCACATTATTCCGTTTTGAATAATGTGCATTGCTATGCACCTCCAATCTCAATCTCCCAAGGTTTTTGCAATTTAACCCTGGCATTCACACTTAGGCAATACAATTTAGGTACAGTACATTAAATAATGTGACGTGTATGATGTTGTGCATGAAATGTGTGTAATTATTTTTACTCCAACATTTCAAATTCCAGGGTGCTTCTTCAGTGCCACCAGGTCTCCTGCTGGCGAATAGTTAGTGATGCAATGGCCAAAGCACAAAATTAAAAGGACTCTTATTTATAAATAAAAAAAACTATTCACTTTCTGTGGAAACATAGGCAGGACTACTCCTGTGGGAGAGGTATGGGGGATGATTAAGAGGATGAATGGGGTCAGATGAGATCGGGATCTCCCTGTGCTGAAAATTGGGAAAAACTGTTGCAATGAGAGACATGGAGAAGGCAGAGATGTTAACTCAGGCATTTGTGAAGGTGCACAGCTCAAATAGTCTAACGGAAGAGGGGCGGTGTGGGAAAGAGAGGGTCAGAGGAGAGTATCCAGGGATCCTGGATCAGTGAGAGGTGGTGGAGGATGCATTGAATGCCCCTTTTAATAATAATAATAATAATAATAATAATAATAATAATAATAATGACCCCTTTTAAGTTGGATGAGATGAAGAGAGCAATAGCTAAAGCTGGGAAGGATGAGATGTGTTACATCATGATGGCTCATCTCAGTGACACTACAATGGGAAAAGTATTGGGCCTTTACAATAAGGTGTGGCAGGATGGAATACGGAAACCAGGGAAAGACCCTACTAATCCATCAAGTTATAGACCGATAGCGTTGACATCTCATGTCTGTAAACTTATGGAAAGGATGATAACAGAAAGGCTGACGTACTTCCTGGAGAGCAGAGGCCTAATGTCATCAGATCAAAGTGGGTTCAGGAAAGGCAGGGGAACGATGGATCCTGTACTAGGTCTAGTCAGTCATATGGAAGGCACAGGCAAATAAGGAGGTGGTGGTAGCCATTTTCTTTGATGTAGAGAAGGCCAATGATATGAAGGGGAAGGGGGGCCTGCTTATCAAACTGGATAGCATGGGGGTTGGAGGAAGGGTTTTTAACTGGATAAAGGACTTTCTTTTTGGACGATCAATACAAGTGAGGGTGGGGAGCTGTATGTCAGAAAGTTATGAGGTAGATAATGGTACCCCCCCAGGGAAGTGTCATTATTATTTTGTTGTTCACCATTTTGATTGATGATGGGCTCTCCTGTAGCTCAGTTGGTAGAGCATGGCGCTTGCAACGCCAGGGTTGTGGGTTCGATTCCCACGGGGGGGCCAGTATGAAAAATGTATGCGCTCACTAACTGTAAGTCGCTCTGGATAAGACCGTCTGCTAAATTACTAAAATGTAAAATGATGTATTCTCCAGATGAGATCAGCTATTGGGAGGTGATTGTTTGCGGATGACTGGCGCTGTGGAAGAGAGGGAGAAATATTCTCCATAAGCCGGGAGAGTTCAAGAAGCAATCAGAGAAGTTAAACAGTGGTCCCTCAGGTGGGGCTTCAAGTTCTCAGTTGAGAAAACACAGACTGTGTTTTTTTACTAGAAGGAATGTTGGGGAGGAAATATACCTGAAGCTCTACGGGAGGAATCTGAAGACGTTGGAAGTGTTTAGGTTCCTGGGGGTCTGATTTGACACTCAAATGACATGGGAGGAACATATTAACACAGTAGTTATCAAAGGAAATAAAATATTGAATGTGATGCGTTGCCTGTCAGGAATGGAGGGGGGGGGGGGGTTAGAATGGCATTAACAACGTTATATGTAGCTCTATCAAGGTCATCACTGGACTATGGTAGTGTAGCATATGGATCAGCAGCTCCGACCTCTTTTAAAAAAGCTAGATGTAATCCAGACTCAAGCTCTAAGAATATGTTGTGGAGCAGTCAGGACCTCCCCGGTGGCAGCGCTGTAGGTAGAGTTGGGAGAGATGCCGTTAAAGTTGAGAAGACATAAACTAACCATGACATATTGGGTAAATCTTCAAGAACATAAGGTCACACATCCTGGAAAAAAAGGTGCTCCTAGAGCGCTGGGAGCATAAACGAGATCTGAATACAAGTTTTGGGTGGTTAGGTAAGGGCCTGGTGAGAGAGATGGGACTGTTTGGGAAGGAGTTCAGCCCCCCTATGGTTCTTCCTGCTATCCCACATTGGTTGCTCCCTCAGCCAATAGGGTTAGGGTTGCTTGAGAGGGTAAGAGCTGGTGAAGAAGGAGTAGATCCAGTAAATATTGTATGTGAACATTTAAAAACTCAGTACTATGCTGTCTTGAATATATTCACTGATGGATCTAGGGAACCTAAAACAGGGAGGACAGGTGCAGCTTTTAGTGTTCCTGAGTTTCAGGTGGCAGTGACAAAAAGAGCAACGGATAATTTATCCGTATACACAATGGAGTTGATGACAGGGTAGTCATCTGCTCTGACTCGTGCAGCACTGATGAGCTTAAATGTATTTCTGTCACAGAGCAGACAAGATGTATTGTATGAGATTTTGCAGTACCTGTTTAGGGTGAGACAGATGCGGGTATTTGTGAGGTTCCTCTGTGTACCAGCTCATGTAGGAGTAGAGGGGAATGAGGAGGTGGATGTTCTTGCAAAGCAGGCTCTCAAACATCCTAATGTTGATATTGACATGCCAATCAGTAAAGCAGAAGCTAAGTGCTAATAAGAACAGTGGTTAAAAACAAATGGCAAGCAATGTGGAACAGGGAGGGAAAGGGAAGAAACCTCTATAAGATCCAGGAAAAGGTGGAGTCAGTGATGTCCTCAGGTTGAGAGAGAAGGAAGGAAAGTGTAATCACAAAGCTGAGACTGGGCTCAACAGTACATCGAAATTGGTAGGAAAACATCCAACTGGGAGGTGTAAACACAGTCAGGAGACAGTGGAACACATGCTATTTCAGTGCCAGCAATAATAATAATAATAATAATAACAATAATAATAATATGCCATTTAGCAGACGCTTTTATCCAAAGCGACTTACAGTCATGCGTGCATAAATTTTTGTGTATGGGTGGTCCCGGGGATCGAACCCACTACTCTGGCGTTACAAGCGCCGTGCTCTACCAGTTGAGCTATAGAGGGAAAGGGAGTAATTAGATTTAAGGAGTAATGGTGTTGAAGATCCAAGTTTAAGTGAACTGCTGAGTAAATCTTCAGAGGATGTAGTATTTAAGGAGACGAGAATAATGGGTAGGATTTAGCCATTCCCTGTCTCTGGAAACACACTCCAGTCCAGTTGGTGGCGGTAATGCACCTTAAAGTTGGTTCCCAACCGCCATGTTAAAAAACACAGTAGAATAAGAACAAGAACTATTCACTTTCCGGGTCCGTTTATTAATGGTGCCTGCTTCTCAAAACAGCAAGAATCCCGAGGCAGTGTTTACATTTTTAACTAAACGTTTTGGGGAATAAAATAAACATCACAAGAGCAATACCATGTCAGACACGGTATGGGCACGGTTTAACGAACGTCTTGCTTGTCTGTGAATTGGTTTAAGAGACAGAATAATGGTTGAGCAATGCTTGCTAGCAAGCTACGTTAGCTGCTATGTGGGCCGAGAAGAGTAGTGTTTAACACAAGCTATCTAGTTAGCTACTGTAGGTAGCTAGATCGAAAATAGTGCCACTGACTGTGCACGAACGGTATAACATTAGGTTTTACTTGCAAGATTGTAGCTAGCTATCTGTCACATGGCTTTCCATTTTTGGTCTACTATGTAACGTTACCGATTCAACTTATTCTGTTTGGCAAGGACAGGGGATTCATAACGTGTTGACAGTGCAGTAGGCTATCTGACTATGCTGATGTAATGTTGTATGTACATGTCAATGGGACACTTTTCTTCCAGGAGTCAAAAGTTGTTGCTTTCTGTATATTCTAGGAAACAAAACCCTCAAGTGGCGATGGAGGTGAGAAGAAAGATGGAGAGTACATTAAACTGAAGGTGATTGGTCAGGTAAGAGAATATGGAGAAGTGTGGATGCATCTCAGATAGGAGAGTTCCTTCCTTGCCTCCTTTCCTATATGTGCTAATATGAAAGGACACTGGGGGAGCCATAGGCCTTTTCTCATTTGGGCTAAAGTCTGTCCTCCCTCTCTCCTCCGCCCTCTCTCCTCAGAAACCGATAAGTGGTCAGGGAGAGTGTCAATTCGTTAGTAGGCAAATGGAAGAGGGTCCTCCCTTCCTCGATAGCCTCCTTTTGGCAAGGAAGCACAAGCAAAGATTTTTATAACTAGCTCATTGTTCTTTCTGTGGCACAAGGGTTTATGCTACCTGAGTCCTTCGAGGACGAGTTTTGAAATCTGCCACACACCCTTTGAATCAGCTATTTTCTCAAAGGAGAAAAGCATGCAAACATTTAAAAATGATATGCTACTCATCCTTTTATCTTTTAAATGTATTTCACAACTAGCTAAGTTAGTTTTTATCACTTAATACATTTATTTTGGGATCCCACCCTGTAAATGTAATTTGCCTGATGACACGTGATTGGAAGAGCGATTGGAAGTGTATTTCCGTCCACTTTCCATCTCCTCGCTGCCTCTCCTTGATTAGGAGGAGAGAGGATGCAGAAGTTGAGTAAATCCAATTGAGAAAAGGCCATATCCTGGACTAAAAAGCATTTAAAATGGGAATTCTCCATTGATCTTGCTATTTAGTCCAGGACTAGAAATTAGTGTACTAGGAACTAATGTCTGGGAAAGCACCCCTAGAAGCCTGGCACAAACAAGACTATGAGTTGTGTTCACCAGTTAGGCTCTAAAAAAGGCCTAATTCTATCTTTACTTTCAGGACAACAGCGAAATTCACTTCAAAGTGAAGATGACAACACATCTAAAGAAGCTAAAGGAATCTTACAGTCAAAGACAGGTAGTTATGAAGCCAAACGATTGTCCCTGTGCTATCACATTTTGACAATGTGGGTCAGAACTTCAGAATTCATATCATCATGTTCGCAGTATCTGATGCAACCATGTGTGATTCCTTCCTGCAGGGCGTACCAATGAATACCCTACGGTTTCTTTTTGAAGGACAGAGAATCTCAGACAACCAAACCCCCAAAGAGGTATCCCACCCATCCCTCTTCCCTTGTATCATCCATACAACCACTAGCCTGGGTGCAAGGCTGTTTCTCTTGCCAAACCCTTATGGAATTGACATGTCCCAAACATGAACAGACTGGCACCCAGGCTATACAACTTTAAATAATCATTTTCTTATTTATTAAATTTTTTAGGTGACATTTCTATTTGTTTTCTGTGAACCTTGAACATACTTGCAGATAAACTTTCCCCTGCATCTTTCTGACTTTCTCTCCCCCCCTTCCCCTCTCTCTCACCCCCTTCCCCTCTCTCTCACCCTTCCCCTCTTTCTCTCTCACCCTTCCCCTCTTTCTCTCTCCCCCTTCCCCCTTTCTCTCTCCCTTCCCCTTTCTCTCTCCCCCTTCCCCTTCCCCTCTTTCTCTCCCTCCCCCCCTTCCCCTCTTTCTTCTCCTCCCTTCCTCTATTCTCCCACTTTTTTCACACCTACCTTTTCCCTTTTTTCCACCTTTCCCTTTTTCCTCCTCTTTTTCTTCACCATCTTGGATGTCATTGAAGTGTATCAGGAACAGACCGGTGGACTTTGGAATGATTAGACTCGCTATATTTTTCTCATTTTGAATTTTGTATGTATTTTGCGTTTGTGTTTCAAACCATCTGGATCCCACACTCTACTGGGGCTTCCATGTGTGAGAGCACAAAGAACGAGTGTGGAAGAATGGATAGATGATCTATTCTCCTTTTAAACACCTCACACAATCATTTCTTCTCCCTCATTTACAATGCAGGTAACATTGTAGTGCAGACAGTGTCATAGCTGAATGTCCCCTATTGAGAGATGACGCATACAATTACTGGTTTTCTCTAGACTGCTACACATGCCTCGTTCGCACACAAAGTTGGAATATACTGTCTCTGAATGCTAAAGCATTGTTTTGGATCTGTTTAGCAATCCCAGCTTTCTACCATTGATGGATCTGGTCTAATGATATTTTAAATATAAAATGTTTTTATGATCATGATGTATATTTTGCATCCAGTATTTGTGTGTAGTAATTATTCATGCCTGTCCTTGGTCAAGATTCCCCAACCGGCGGGCCGAATTTGGCACGCGGGTGACTGTTTCTGGCCTCTTCTTGGACTTAAGTGTTTTTCTTGTTTGTCTGTCCTTTTATCAAAATAGTCTTGCTGTTTTTAACCACAACAGTAGCCACACATAGTAATGATGTCAATGCAACAAATGATTCCTTATGGAGGCATTGATCCGGATGGTTTGAAGCAGAAAACTTGTTTTCTTTTTTTGAATAAAATGTTTAACAAAAACAGGACTGATAGTTTCCAACTTTGACACGTGTGTACCATCCATGGTAGACCAAACAAGAATGTTCTGGAGCAGGACTGCAGGTTGGATTCCTGTCCACCAGAGTGAGCTCTCGCCATGTTTATGACAAGGAGTGACTGAGTATTTATTTGAAATCTCACATTCCATGATACATTATGAAAACAACTTTGGCCATGTATACAGTCACATGCAGAGGGAATTTACCGAACTGCCTATCCTCCATTCTATGCCTTGGACAATGGAAAAAGCTAAATTATAGTCTTAAAATAAATGTCCACAGTGTGGGGTTGGTTGTGATAAAAACATAAAAAACATTTGAATGTTGGTTGGAAATGTAACTTTTACACCAATATGTAGCAGTGATGCTTCTCAATTAGATGTTTTATGTATGTTTACTCTATCTTAACTGGAAAAGGCAAGTGTAGAACTGTAGGGAGGGAGGTTCCTCAAGCGTACATCACTGTGCTGCAGACGGAGCAAATATTTATTTGAAAAGCGTCCGATTTCAGGGAGGCCCAGGGAAGGGAGGAGGGTGTGGAGTTTGAAAGGGGGAAAGGAAGAGGTGGGGGAAGAGTGGAGGAGGGGGAGTAGAGTCATTGACCAGTGACAGGGTAAGAGAGAGCAGAGAGAGTGTAATGTTTACTGTTAATATTTTATTTATTTCACTTTTATCTATTTCACTTGCTTTGGCAATGTAAACATATGTTTCCCATGCCAATAAAGCCCTTAAATTGAATTGAGAGAGCAGGGGCAGAGAGAGACTACGGGTCAGGTCAGTAAACTGTGTGTGTGTCAGTCCTAGGGACTACAGGGTCCATGCCCTGGGTTAAGACTCTGCCTGTAGGAGATCTGGTTTCTAAGCCTGGGATACCTCACAGTGGCAAAACACTACCAGATGTGGGCCAGCCAGGAGACAGGGGGAGGGGATGGTGTGTGTGTGTGAACTCACAATATGAAGAGTGAACATGTCTCAATGCTATATATCAACTCAGTTACACATGCACATATAGCCTTTAGCTTTTTCCATTGTGCTCACAAAACACTGAAAGTTGCTCAAATGTGTGGGTCCTGACCCACCCAACCCTGACCAGTTACATCACCTTATAAAAATGTGAAACACAGCAAGAGATGATGACCTATAATTAGCTTGATGTTTTGTCAGGTTAATGTGCAAAAAGTCCTTACTCTTTCAATCAGATTACGCTGACTGCAGGCAACTGTCCTTGACTGGAGACTGCAATATCATTTTGGTCTTTGCAACAGTTTTGGACCAAATAAGATAGCGATAGTATGTTTTTCTCCCCCAACATTATTTATATTGTTCAACAAAATCATGTCCCGCTTGTTGGATTACGTACTCTATTGTTTCCAGTGAACAAATGCAACAGTAATACAATGCACATTCAGGCTATTATTGTGAGGTGTAGGACTACAGACACTCCAGTTGAACACAACACGTAATAGATACAGGACTGATAACGCAAAATGTTGCCTAAAAAAATGTCTTTGTTACACTCCGCCCTATCTAGGACATACAACCAAAACAAAAGGGGGAGAGGTGAAGTCAAAACAAGAGAAGCCAAAAAGGAGATATCACATTTCAGCAGGAAAGGAGGAGATCCGCTCAAGGCACTGTGTTGAGATTTCCTGTTCGTAAACTTTAGGGGCAAATCCCCCTTTAACTCATCATGCTAGCTATTTTTCTATAGAAATACCAGATCTTTTATCAATAGCTCTGATATATCGACCTGACACCATAGGAGAGATAATATTCCACAGCCAAGTAGAAGTTAGACCTGGAGGATAGAACAGGAGACGACCAGAAAAACGAAATAGCAACATACTGTATAACAGTAATGTGTCCACACCACAGACAGTCTTATAGGGAGTATTGTGCAAGCAGATGTTAAAAGTAATTGAGGACCTTAGGTGTGGAATTGTTGATATTCCAAACAATGTTAAAACATAATCTCCATATCCCTAGGCCTACATATAGAAAATACCCTTCATTAAACTCATTGGATACATTTTAGGAAGTCATTACAATCTCGCTGGTTTTACATTGCCTCGTTCAAGGATTTGTTTTAGACTTTCACAAACATATGCTTAAAGCATCTAAAATAAACAGCAATGACGTTCAAGTGACAGCAGGTAAAAAATGTCATCATTTTATTCTGTGAAACTGTACAGATACAAGCCATATTGCATGAAGAAACATCAAGTAGAAACAGCAAGATTATAATTCTTATAAATACATATGTTCTTTTGAAAAAGTGTGAATATTTACAAAATGTGGCCTGTAACGTGGCAATTTAATAGCAACATCTTACAGCTAAACTATGTCCCAAATGGCACCCTATTCCCTATATAGTGCACTATGTTTGACCAGGGCCCCTGGGGCTCTGGTCAAACGTAGTGCACTATATAGGGAATAGGGTGCCATGTGGGACATAACCCTATACACAAGCATAATACAACTCAAAAAGTGAGTATGTTAGCCATTTCTCTCTGTGCCAAGATGAATGTTCTTCTCAGATGCCTGCAAGTTAGTCTAAAAGTAACATCAGTCATATGTAACAAAAACGGGTACATAAAAAATTCCAAAGTACAGAAGCAAGGAATGGAATGCACAGATTCCAAAAACCTTTGTAATTCCTTGCAAATCAATGGGAGAAAATGGTAACATACATTGGTCTTGTCAGACATTAGCCCTGTATCCTTGTTTCTCCTTGGATGAGAAACTCACTTCATAATACAAAATAGTTGAATACATATTGAAAGGTCATGGCAAAACAGACACTTTCTTTGTTGCTGCTGTTACATCACTGGGTGGCACATTGTGGTTTAAAAGTCATGTTTAAATGAGATTATAAAATGTTTTTTTTTTTTAATGTATGGGGGTTACTGAAAAGTCACTGAAAAGTTAAAACCCCTCAAAAAATGAACAAATGTTCAGTCGATGGCTCATATGGTTGTCAGGAGGGACATTCTCAAAGTAAAATCACTTTTTTCAGAGTTCAAATGTCCTATGTCCAATAGGAGTTGGGAAGGGATATGCTCATTCGGTTCCATAAAAAAAAAAAACATGTATAATTCCTCCACATGTTGCCCTTCTATAAAGTTCATACGGTCGTCTCTCCTTGATTGCTGTTACTGAGACGTTTGTAAAACCTGCACCAACTCTGTAATGTTTTCCCTGACCAGATCCAGAATCCGGACGTGATGCCCACGATCATAGTCATCAGGTACTTGATCATGAACACCGTGAAGTCTGGGCTCATCGGGGCAAAGTTGTTGGCCGGGCACGGCACCGCGAAGCGCTTGCACGTCTGCATGTGCCAGGTCTTTTCCCATTGGTCACGGAAGGCCTGCTCGTAGAAGTAGCAGGCGATGACGATGGTGGCGGGGACGGTGTACAGGACGCTGAACACTCCGATTCTCACCATCAGCTTCTCTAGTTTCTCCGTCTTGGTGCCGTCATGCTTCATGATGGTTCTGATGCGGAACAGAGACACGAACCCAGCCAGGAGGAACGAGGTTCCGATGAAGAGGTAGACGAACAGGGGGGCCAGGACGAACCCTCGTAGTGAATCCACGTTGTAGATGCCAACGTAGCACACCCCTGTGAGAAGGTCTCCATCCACTTGCCCCATGGCCAGGATAGTGATGGTTTTGACAGCTGGTACCGCCCAAGCCGCTAGGTGGAAGTATTGTGAGTTGGCCTCAATGGCCTCGTGACCCCACTTCATACCAGCAGACAGGAACCAGGTGAGGGACAGGATGACCCACCATATGGAGCTAGCCATACCAAAAAAGTAGAGGATCATGAAGAGGATGGTGCAGCCCTCTTTCTTGGTGCCCTGGGCCACTGTCTTGTAACCGTCCTCTTTAAACTTGTCTATGCAGACCACTTTATCCTCCAAGAAGAAGCCTGCTGTATAGGCCACTGCCACCATGAAGTAGCAGCCTGAGAGGAAGATGATGGGCCTCTCCGGGTAGCGAAACCTCCTCATGTCTACCAAGTATGTGAGCACAGTGAACAGTGTACTCACACAACACAAAATAGACCAGATACCCACCCAGAGTTTGCCGAATTTCAGTTCCTCCTCACGGAAATACATTAGTCCGTTGGGCTTGGTGGACTCACATGGGGCACCACAGTCTTTCACCCCCAGGAATTTGTAGTTGAGGTAGGTTGGGACCTGAAGTTGCAGGGGACAGGAGAAGGGCTGGGCAGCAGGGCGACCGATGTTAGGGGGTAAGGTCATGAGCTCAGGTAGGTTGGGAGTGGGGTCTGAGGTAGGGATGTCCGTGTCTGACGTGTTTTGACCCACACAGATCTCCCCAGCGCCGTGGACAGGGAAGTTCTCGCAACGGAGTCTCTCTGGCCACTGAAACCCGAACTTGTTCATGAGCGCCTCGCAGCCCTGGCGTGCGCGCTCGCACAGTGATCGGCATGGGGGGATGGCCTGTTCTAGAACTGTGCACACCGGTGCGTACATGGAACACAAGAAAAACTTAAGGTCCATGGAACACTGGACCTTCACGAGCGGGTAAAACTGATGGACCTCCAGCCCCGCATCCTCCTGGTTTGTGTGTCCCAAAAGATTCGGCATGATGGTTTGATTATAGGCAATGTCCGTGCAGAGTGGAATGGAAATAGGTTGACAAAAACCGTGTTCTGGTATAGAAATGCCCTTCTCGCCATGATACTGACCGGTACACGGCTCCAGCAGAAGGCAAACAGTCACCAGAGCGCACCCCGTTATCCAAATCCACTCCCAGGTTCTCCTTACCGCCATGATAGCAGCCTCTGTGTTCAGAACAAAAAAAGTGTCGGAAGAATATTACTCCGGAGCTGCAAAACGCCCAAATCAATTTCAGTCCACAAAAAAACGTTGAAAAGGTCTCTCTTCTCCGTCTATATAAAAAGGGAGAGGAGCCTAAAATTAAAACAAAGTTAAACGCTTGACAAATGCCCTCGGCCGCTCTCCCCACATTCCTTATTCCAGTGTTCACAGAACTCTCCAAGAAAATGGAGGATAGCTGGTGAGTGATTTTTTTATTCCAATCAA